TCCCGCGCCGAGGCCCGCTCCTCGCCGGTGCAGCTGGCGGGCGGAGACGGAGGGGTTAAGGGGCGCTGGGCGGGAAGCGGGCCGGGCTGTGGCGCGGCCGCTTCCAGCAGGCGGACGGGGTCCCCTCGGGGCCGGGGACGCCGCCCGGGCTCACGTGGTTAGGAGCGGGCCGCTGCGCGGAGCTGCGGCCGCGGCGCTGCAGGACGGAGGAAGAGGTCCTCGCCCGCTCTCCGGCTCTCGAGCCCCCCGCGTGGGCAGGCGGGGCCGCGGCCCGCTCGCGGGGTACTCACCGACGCTGGGGCGCGGCGGGCTCGGCCCCCCGTGGCGGCTGTAGCGGCAGCTTTGGGCTCCTAGCCCGGGGGGAGTCCCCCTGTGGGAGAAACGCACATGGCAGCGCAGAGGCCCGGACGCGAGAGGCGGGCGTGGGGCGGCCGCCCGGCCCGGGGAGGAGCCCGCTGCCCCAGGCTACACGAGGCGGAAACGGAGCGAGGAGACCGGCCGGGGAGGGCCGCCCCTGGAGTGGGCACCCGCGGCGCTCGCCTCGCGGGCTGAAGGCCCCTCCCGAGGCCCCGGGCCGTGCGCAGCACCGGGAAGGAGCCAGGAACGGTGGAGAGGCGCGCAGCGGGGCCCCGGGTGCCGGCGACATCCCCAGGGCTGGCCCGGGTGCGGGTGCAGGCGCGGCCCCCCCAGCCAGCAGGGCGCCGGCGGCAGGCCCTGGAGAGGGGCTCCTCGGAGGAAGACCGCAGCCGCGGAAGGGGGCAGGCGAGGTGGGCCGGGCCCGGACGGTCCAGGGAAGGAAAGAGGGACACAAAAGGTAACCCACAAAAGAGGCTGACACATTTTTTTTGTGGTTCTTTTTTTCACTGAAAATGTCAGTTTAGAAAACACAAAAAAATTTCACTTTATTCAGACAACACTGAGGAGGAAAAGAAAAGGGAGGCTTGAGTAGGGAGAGAGGGAGATCCTGCTCCCAAGGACAGAGGGGTGGCAGGAAGGCTCCTGCTATGGGGGAAAATAGAGGGGAGGGCAGGGGTAAGCTGGCGCCCGCCCCCCTCAAAACGTCTCACCAGGCAGTAGGGGTGCACTTGTGGGCGCTCCAGGGTTTAACAGAAGAAAACTTTGGAGACATGGTTGAGAGCGACTCGAGTATGTGCTGGGATCTGCTGCCTAAAACTAAACGTGTGGGAGTCTGGATCTGGTGGAAGCGGTGGTGTCAGGGCATCTCCTGCAGAGACCCCGTGAGTGCGGGGGGGACTGAAGCTTGGCAACGCTGAGGCCCACCGGGGAGCTGCAGAGGCAGAGCTCACGCCGGCTGGTGACACGGGCAGGGCTGGGGGAAGCCGGGATCGTCCCGCACACAGGACTCCACACGAGGGTTCCCCGGCAGAGGGTGCCTGCAGCTTCCACCGCAGTCTAGTCTTAGGGATAAGCAAGCCTGTGCTTCTCTAGAGGGTCTGAGCAGCCCAGGCTGTGGAGGGAGTGCAGGGCACAGGTTGGGCCAGTAAGGGGCGCTTCTGTGGTCGGAAGAGCTGCGGTATTAGCCCACGTGGCACCCTGACAACCCAGCTGTCTGAGAGGGGCAGAGGAATTCCCATGGGCTCCGACAGGGTCCACGGTCTGGAAGATGCAGGGAGGAGGGCCTGAGCCGCTCAGGGAGGGGCGGCGTCAGTATCGACTCTCATCAGAGCGGGGAAGGGAGCTGAGGACGCACGGACAGGAGGATGGGAGAGGGAAAACGGGGGAGAGAAAAAGAAAAGTCAGAGCTGAAGAGGAAGCCAGGTGAGAAACAAAGGAGGTGCCCACGCCTGCCTGCTGGGAAGGGGTCACGGCAGTCAGGCATTGACCGTGGGGCACAGGGCCCTAACCCAAGGAAGCACTGCGCCCCCAAGCGTCAGGCCATGATTTAGCATCAAAGAGGGACCAGCCCTCCCCAGCAGCACCCAGCTCTTCTGCGGCTCACACAACTCTGGGCAAAATGAGGGAACCCGGCTATATTCAAAGCCCTAATCTGCCAGGTATGTTCGTGGCACACCTGTAATCCCAGCACTCGCTGAGGCAGGAGGATTGCTGTGTTTCAGAACAGCCTGGGCTACACAGTGAGGTCAAGGCCAGCCTGAACCCTGTCTCAAAAAGACAAAATAGCAAAGCCCTAATTCTTTTCTTTCTCCCAAACCACTTTTTTTTGGCAGAACTGGGGATTGAACTCAGGCCCTTGTGCTTGCCAGGCAAGTGCTGATTCTACTGAGCCATCTCCCTAGCCCCCCAAACCACTTTTACAAATACACTTAAATATATTTTTCTTGAAAGGTTTGCCACTCTGTATCACTGTTTCACATCTCTGACAAATTTAAATGACTTCTGGCCATTTTTAAACTTTTCTCTCTTTTTGCAGAACCGGGGATTGAACACAGGCCCTTGCCCTTGCCAGGGAAGCGCTTATTCTACTGAGCCATCTCCCCGGCCTACATTTTTAAACTTTTTTTTTTTGGGGGGGGGACCGGGGTTTGAACATTTTTAAACTTTTAACTGGGCATGGTGACACCCTCCTGTAGTCCCAGTGCTTGGGAGGCTGAAAACAAGAGTCTGTGTAGTGAGGCTCTGTCCTAAATACAAAACAATATGTAAAATAAAAACACTTTTATATGAGGGGTGGGTAATGGGGATTGAATATGGCTTTTGCACTGAGCTACATACCCCCTGCCCTTTATAAAAAAGTACTTGAGAACTGTCAGTATCTTGCTAAATTTCCCGGGCTGGGCTCAACCCTCCAGTGGCGTGCCACGCGCGCCCCCAGCCCCCGGCTCCTCGGGCACAGGCCCCGGCTCCCTGGCCCTCCGGCCGGCCCTACCTGGTGCGCCGGCGCTGCGCGGGGCTGCCCCCGGGGTCGGTGGCCAGCAGGAGGCGGGCGGTTGGGTGCGGTGGGCACAGCCGCAGGGACCGCAGCAGCTCCTGCTCGGGCGCGAAGGGGCGCAGGGGGCCCCGCTCCGGTGAGCTGCCCAGGCTGCTGGAGCGCGGGGGCGGGTGCGCCGCAGGGGTTGCGCGGCGCGGGGCTCTGTTTAGGGGCCACGGCGGCTCCACCGCGACCTTGAGAACTGGGGGGCAGGAGGAAGGCGGACGTCACTGCGGTTCGGCTCGCCTCGCGTCCCGGCCCCTGCTGCCCCCCGGCCCCTCTTACACTCGCGGTCGCTAGAAGAGTAGGGCTTGATGTCGCCCTCGGCCTTCTTGGGGGGCAGCTTCCTTGCTGGCGCTGGTGGCGAGGGACACAGACACGGGAGGTGTTAGGAGGTGAGCCCCGCAGCCCGCCCCCACTGCCCCGAACCTCCGCGCCCCGACACGTCGCTCCTCTTGGCCCTGGGGTGCTGGAGCACACTGGGGAGAGCCGGAGGGGGCAGGCCGGGCGCCCTCGGGAGCAAACGGGCGGCGGGCTTGGGCAGGCCCGCGGGGGCGGGGAACCGGGGAACCGCTCTGGAAGGGCTGGGCGGCGCGCAGGACCTCTCCTGCCGGTCAAGCGCAGGGAAAGCGAGGTCGCACTAGGTGACCTTTAGCGGAGACAAAGCGCGCCTGAGCGGACGGCCCGCGCTCGCCGCCCCCCTCCTCGTGCTCGCTCTGCGGCCCCCCACGCACCCCACGCACCCCACCGCTCGAGGCGGCTCCAGGCCCGGGAGGCCACGCGCGCCTGCGCCTACGGAGACCTGCCGCCGCGGCGCGCGGCTCCCGGCCAGCCTCGACTGGCGCAGCTGCTAGCCCCGTGCGTGGGCACCGCTGACCCTGGCCCACCAGCCCAGGCCGACCTGGCCCCAGCGAGGGGCCGGGCAGTGCAGGCCTCCCGCCGTGCGGGGGCCCTCCACCCACCCGGGCGGGGTTACCGGTGGGTGCGGGCTCGGCAGCAGCGGCGCGGGACAGTCGTGAGGCCCTCAGAGAGGGGGCGGGGGGCCCTGCGAGGAAGGAAGGGGGCCCCTCAGTGGGGCTGCGCGGCCGCGCCTCTGGCCTTCCCTCGCCCCAGCAGCGAGGCCCACTCGCGACACTTACGGTGCTGGTGCGCGAAGAAGCCTTCGAAGATCACGAAGTTGTTCACCTGGAAGAAGCAGCGCGTGAGCAGTGTTGCCACTCACCTCTCATTCTCCCGTGAGTGCAGAAAAGGATAAAACCTGACCACAGGCCACTCAAAACCAAACCGCCCTGGCAAGCGCAAGGGCCCGAGTTCAATCCCGGGCTCTGCCAAAACAAAAAAACCAAACGCGACAACCCCTAAAATTGAGGTACAACTGCCAAGGACCTCGAAAAGCTAACAATACTGAAAAAAGAGGAAACTGGAGAACTTACAGCTCTTGATTTCAAAACTTACCTCATGGAAACTGCTAGGACAGTCTGCTAGGCACACAGCCCGGCCGTGTGAGGGTGGTCCAAGGACAGGCATAGTCAGCTGAGAGAACCGGAGGCCCAGAAGTAAACTCAGTCTACAACTGACTCTCCAAGGAGGAGCTGGCAGGCCAGCCGAGCAAAGCCCGCAAGGAACCACGCTGCAGAACTGAACATCCACTTGCAGCGCTGCGAGTGTGGGCCTTTACCTCTCACTGCAGACAAACGCTGCAAATGATCAAGACCTCGACGCGAAATCTTAACGAAACTCTTAGAAGGAAACAGAGAACCTCATTTCTTATATAGGCAATGGTTTCCTTTTCTTGTCTTTTCTGACCTCGATCTCATTCTCCTGCCTCAGCCTCCCGAGTGAGTGCTCGGGTTACAGGTGCACACCACCACCCCAGTTTCTTTTCTTTTCTCCAGTGCTGGGGATGAAACAAGGCCCAGCACATGCTAGGTACACATGCTACCCTTGAGCTACAGCTTAGGTCCCAAGCAAGTTTCTTAAATATGATGCCTAAAGCAAAGTACTAAAAGAAAAATAGATACATCAGACTTCATCAAAATTAAAAGGAGAAATTGTGTGCTTCAAACACACTATCAAGGAAAAGTGACCCAGCTACTAGGGAGGCTCAAGGGAAAGACTGCAAATTCAAGGCCAGCCTGTGCAGTTTAGCAAGATCCTGTCTCGAGATTAAAAGTAAAGAAGGCCTGGTTCTAGTCAGTTCTGCCTCGCGGCAACCGCCCCCTTCTGCACGTCCTGCAGAGCCATGGCCCGCGCCTGGGATCGGCCGCAGCCTCGTCAGCAGCCGCCCGTGGTCTGCCGACCATGGATCCCCGCAAAGTAAACGAGCTTCGGGCCTTAGTGAAAATGTGTAAGCAAGATCCGAGCGTCTTGCACACCGAAGAAATGCGCTTCCTGAGGGAGTGGGTGGAGAGCATGGGGGGTAAAGTTCCACCTGCTACTCAGAAAGCTAAATCAGAAGAAAATATCAAGGAAGAAAATGCAGACAGTAAGAAGATGGGGGAAAACATAAAGACAGATGAGCCATCAAGTGAAGAAAGTGATTTAGAGATCGACAATGAAGGTGTAATTGAGCCAGATACTGATACCCCACAAGAAATGGGAGATGAAAATGTAGAGATAACTGAGGAGATGATGGATCAGGCAAATGAAAAGAAAGGAGCTGCCACTGATGCTCTAAATGATGGTGAACTACAGA